AATTTGGACCCGAACCTTTTGAATGAAAGGAATCACAAGGACAAAGTCCCCGCTAAGCTGAGCTTGTTGCGTTGTCCCTGCCCTCTACCCTCCAATCAAGCAATTCCTGGTCTATGGCAGAATTTAAGTCCAAATTTTAACCCTCGCCGGCACAGTCGATGCAACCCCCCCCCCCTAAGTTTTTCGCAAATAACTCGCGTAAAAAGCGGCTGATCGCGACGAAACTTTCAGTACCCTCGCATTGATGAATTTTACACCTACCCTGAAAATTGCATGACCCTGACCCAAATGACCTTTGACCTGTGACCTCTTTTGCGAGACCATGTTTGGCCGGAATCGCGATTCAGCGTCTGTCGGCTCGCATTAGCCGCGCGTTTGCAAGCTTTTCGTGGTTTCAAACGTTCAACCACGTGATTTGATGCTGCTCCCATACATTAGGGTGGGTGTCAAGGTCACTTGAAGGTCAGGTCAGGTCATTGACCTTTGGTGACTTCGGTTCACTTTTTCGAGTTTTACATGTTTCTAGGCTAGTTTTGGAGCTGAATTCGAATTTAGCAACCATTTGAACATTGACGAAGTAGTTTTGGTGCCTTCGTAACATGCTACGAAGCTGTCAGAGGCGGTTGACACGTATTACGAATACCCGTCACGACCCCTACCAGTTGACCTGACTTGACCTGACCTGACCCGACCTGGTCTAAATGCTTAAAGACATCATCTGTGATCAAAACTAACACGATTTACGTGATCAGCACCCCGGAAAACCCCATAGCAGCCTTACTTTGCGATTTTCTAACAGGTCCCGATTTTTCCGATTTTCGGGTCATTGGAAGAAGGTCACCCTATGACCTAGGACCTTAAAATTCGGTATCATCGGCTTTCTCTCGTGACGGGCAACACGCTCGTTTTTTCCGCGAAGCTCTAGCTCGATCAGGGGCCAAACGCCAGGGGGGTCGTACCAACCCCCCCCCCCCCTTGTGCCGTCGAAGGACGCAAAATGGCCTGCGCCGGCGATGGTTAACGTGTGCACGTAGCCGCACACGGCCGGTCCCCTCACTGACTTCGCCTGACAGCGGCCTGCCACCAACCACAACCATACCCGTCAGGAGCTCAAAAACGTCAAGCACACATCGCGTTTCGAACCCGGACTTTTACAACCGGGACGTGCGCTCTCGCCACACGGAGTCCAACGCGCTACCGACCGAGCTACCGGGACGGACATTTACATACTTAGGGGTTTTGCCTCGTGACATTGACAGACGTCAGACATTTTGGCCGAACTTTTAGCCGTAGCACTGAGCAAGCTGCGCAGGGCGATAGGTGTTCGTAGCGTTTAGGTTGGGTAACCTGTGAGCTGAACGCGATGTCGTGAGTTCGAGCCCCACTCCCGGGTCATGTTTTATCTAGACACGAACCAAAACCTTTCCTTCTACTGCAACACAGACAAGCACGATGACATCTTTCGCCAATATATTTCCCCAATAACCTCTAAAAAGTCAAAATCATGGCTTATAAATGTTAAGCTAAGTTTCATTTTTGAAGAAAATATTTTTTTTTTGTCATTTTTCTGGAGCCATTTCAACTCTTTTCTTTTCGGATTCTTTTCGACCCGATAAAACCCACCAAAACTGAACGTGCCAAATGAAAAATAACCAACTCAAATAACAGTTTGGAAAAGCCTAAGACATCATGCAACTATCGACTGAATAGTTGCATGCAATTAATACGTCCTAGATTTCAATTATCATTGTTCAAGATTTTGGCTGGAACTGGCGCTGCCTCTCGCTTGCCCGTTTGTTTGAGATAATGATTCCCTTCAGTCACATTCTTGCTGGTTCCACATGAACAGGATACCACCATACCGGAGTGAACGCACCCGCAACTATCATCCCCTCCCCTCAGCCTCGGCGCAGTGGCGGGCGGCCCTGGGCGGCCCACTCCCGGCGCTACGCACGCCCCATGCGCCGTGATACCGCGTCACTCCCCCTCCCTCCTTCCCCACACTGACCGGTGACCTCACTTCCCTCGGGATTTGGACTCGCCCTACCCCGACCGTAGCGCCACGTGGTGGCTCTGGAGATCTTAAATAGACTCACTGTACATAGTGTCCATGCACAATAGGCGTTTTCACAAGGAGCAGCTGGTACAAACTTGGTTTAGATTAGCCGTTTTCACGACGGGCTATCCGGCGAATGCACCTGATTTGACCAAATCTGCACCTAATTTCTTTAACAGCAAATATCTTCATTTTATAAATTTATTTCAGTGCTTTAACCCTCGCCCGTATAGGGGGGGGGGGGGTCGAACGGACCCCCCCTCGGTTTTTCGCGAATAACTCGCGTAAAAAGCGGCCGATCGCGACGAAACTTTCAGTACCCTCCTGTTATTCAATTTTACATCTACCCTGAAAATTTCATGATCCTGACCCAAATGACCTTTGACCTGTGACCTACTTTTCGAGACCATGCTTGGCCGGAATCGCGATTCGGCGTATGTCGGCTCGCATTAGCCGTGCGTTTGCAGTCTTTCCGTGGTTTCAAGCGTTTAAACATGTGATATGATGTTGCCCCCAGGCACTAGAGTGGGTGTCAAGGTCACCTGAAGGTCAGGTCATGTCATTGACCTTTGATGACCTCGGTTCACTTTTTCGAGTTTTACATGTTTCTAGGCCAGTTTTTGGAGCTGAATTCGAATTTAGCAACCATACGAACATTTACGAAGTAGTTTTGGTGCCTTCGTAACATGTAACGAAGCTGTCAGAGGCCGTTGACACCTACTACGAATACCCGACAGGACCCCTACTGGTTGACCTGACCTGACCTGACCCGACCTGACCTAAACGCATTAAGACATCATCTATGATCAAAACTAACATGATATTTGTGATCAGCAACCCGAAAAACCCCATAGCAGCCACGCTTTACGACGTTCTAACAGGTCCTGATTTTCTCGATTTTTGGGTCATTGGCCTGACCTGGAAGGTCAACCAATGACCTAGGACCTTAAAATTTGGTATCATCGGCTTCCTCTCGTCACGGGCAGCACGCTCCTTTTTTTCCGCGAAGCTCTAGCTCGATCAGGGGCGAAACGGCAAGGGGGGTCCAACGGACCCCCCCTCCCCTTATACGTTCGCGGCTGGAAAAACACCAATACGGGCGAGGGTTAACCGATGATGCTCTCAGATAATATGACAAAGCAGGCATATAAGCAATTAGTGCAACCCTAGCTGATAGCTGCTAAGAGACACACTGAACCTGATTTGACCAAATCTGCACCTAATCTGTACCAGATGTGCACCAAATATGTACCAGATGGCCGTCGTAAAAACGGCTATTATGCAGCTTTGGTGCAGATTTGGTCAAATCAGGTTCAGATGTTTCTTTAGAATTTGTCGGTTTGTGCTAGACAGCTGCTTAAATACCTCATTTTTCAAATTATCAGACATTGTTTTCGATATAATACTGAAATAAATTCATGATCCGAAGATAGGTATTTATTGTCAAAGAGATTTGGCGCAGATAGCTGCATTCGCCAGATAGCCCGTCGTAGAAACGGCTAATGTCGAAGTTAAATGCTAGGCTGCTAAAAAAGAAGAAGAAAATTGACGCAAAACATTGCTGGTGCCTGTCGACTAACTTCCGGAAAACCCGAGGCCCTGTACCCATACGAATAGAAGGCAAAAAATATGTATCATAAATGTATTGAAAAAACAACGTGCAAACGCGCAAACATACTCAAAACGGACAAACACACACATAAAACATTCACGCAGGGCGCATACTGAGGATTAGATTGACCTCATATTTCACACTGTCTTAGACGCTGTGCCGTACTGAGTCAATAAATAAGAATAAGGAGTAACACAGCGACCCTGGAGTGGGCCCGTCTGTCTGAACATTAGTGGCCGTACGCCAGTGTGTTGAGTCCTATGGGACGGCCCACAAGACCCAGCCCGGTCTTGGCCACGCCGATGGGCCTGCCCACCAGGCCCAGGCCGGCTCCGGCACCAATGGCGCCGATCCTCTTTCCGCCGAGCAGGCCCAGGCCGGCTCCGGTGCTGATGCCGCCTCCCAGCAGGCTCACGCGCTTTGTGGCGATCAGAGGACGCACAGCGGCGACCTTCTTCACGGCGCCCACACCGATGCCTCCAATGCCGTAGCCGCGAGCCACCTGCGGGTGCTGGGCGTAGCCCTCGTAGCTGACCTCGGCGTTGAAGCCGCTGTATCCGTCGGCGACGTACTTGACGATCTGGGTGCGGCCGTCGGGCAGGTTGACGGAGTACGAGCCCTGCACGTTACCGGCACCGTCCGACACCTCCTGTTTGGCGGCCATCGGTCCGTAGTTGGGGTCATCGATGGCGTACTGGTACTGGTACGGCCGCGGCTCGGCGTAGTCGACGGCGACGGCCTTGCCGTAGCCGACGGCCTTGCCGTAGCCAAGGCCACGGCCAGCCAGCGCGGGCACGGCCAGGGCGCCGGTGCCGGACAGGATGGGGCTGATACCGCTGGCGGCGGCGGTGGCCACCAGGGCTGCTACAATGAATGTCTTCATGGCGGAGCTGGTTGTGAGCGACTGGAGCGTCTGGTGGCGATACGAGACGAGCCGGTTACTTTATACCGGACCGCCGCACCCCGCCCCGCCCGCGTCACCGACCATGGCACCGGTGCGTGATACAGTAAGTCTTGGCGGCAACCCGTTCAAACCGAACAGTAATAGTAGGGCTATTTTCTTTTGCTAGCTGTTATCATTGTATCTTACAAAGGAGTTGATCGTACTGCTACAAAAATTTAGCTGGGACAGGGATGCAGGCAATTATAGCCCCTTCTCGTGGCGGAGCTTCGACACCTTTTTGATTTAATTTGAAAACAAAGTGGCAAAGCAATCGAAGATATAACTATTTGAATTCGACAGATTGAATTCAACTAGTTATAGCCTGACAAACCTAAGAAAGAACAGAGTTAAATCTCATGAATCACTTTGCACGTGTTTTGATCACTGAAGCTCGGATAAAATTTTTGTGAGAAGCTTTGAGAAAAATATTAACGGATATTTTTTAGGCAATTTTAAACCGCGCATGACTGGTGTATTTTCCATAACGGAGTGACTGAGGGGGGGGGGGGGCTCTCCAGAGCCCCCTCCTATCTCCAAAACTACTGGACCGATCGTCAAAGTTCAAACGGCATCTGATAGCTCTGGAAAAACTGTCGAGCGGAACCTATTTTCATTGACCTCGAGGTCACCGATGACGTCACAGGTCAGGTCAATGTAAAAATTATCAGCTTTTTTGCTTGTTCACAATTTAGGCTGTGACCGCCGGCTGGCAAGTCTGATCAGGCTCATTTTTGGTTTACGCACTCCTTGATATATGCCTTAGATACCCTGAGGGTACCGAACTTTTGCTTCGAATTTTTCAGGTCAAGACCAGGTCCTCCTAGGTCAGAAAAATTGTATATCATGTATCGGTCACGTGACGCATGTTTTATAGTCCGTTTTACTCGAAGATTTCAAACACAATGTCGTCTGTGTCTGGTAAAGAGCAAGTAGCATACGAATATATTAAAGAAGCAATTACATATAAATAAGCGGACCGGTTTCGTCCGCTTATTCCGAAATATATTTCTATACACCGTCAAATATGTTTAACTTTTAGGCATTTACTGATGTATCGAGCGTTGATGTTTGGTGTACGAGCATAACCACCGAAATATGATGGTAGATTGTGAGTGTTTTTAGGTAGTAGGTGCCCTGCTCAGCAATGCTTATTATTTTCTAACTGAATCAGATTTTATTTGAAACGATTGTCATTGTGCTAGTTTTCTTGTTATACGTTTTTGAAAAAGCGCTGAAGAAGTTTTGGATAGACGAAACCGGTCCGCTTATTTATATGTAATTGCTTCTTGAATATATTCGTATGCTACTTGCTCTTTACTACATACCTGTCCAATATGTCTACAGTCGTCTGTGTTATTTGAGGTCATTTTCAGATTTACCGGAGGTCAGGTCACTTTCAGGTTAGAAAAGGTCAAATTTTCAAAATGAAATTTTTCAATGCAGTGTGAGCTAAGGAACACGATGTTTTCATTTATATTGCTGTACAAGGTCAAAAACGTACAAAAAAATGGTTTCGAATAGTATATAATTGTAAAATTTTGACAATAATCCAAATAACTTGGCTATTTGTGAAGATATTGGGCTAAAACATGCTAGAGTAGCTTATAACTGTGTGTCTTATCACATATATTCCGATTTTAGCGAAAAATCAAAAAGTTTTTGAAAAATCAAAAAAATATATTTGCCGTAGTTCAAAATGCACGTGTTTCAAAATGTTAAAAATTTCGAAATTTCGAGATAGCAGTTGATAGCTACTTATATTTGTAGTCCACCCATGCAAAGAACTTGGATCTAGCTTTAAAACTGAGCTCTTGAGAGCGTTTGCCGTAATTCAATATTATGCATCAAAAAGGGCCGACATGACGTTTAGCTAACGTTATTTACAGCCAAACTGTTGTTCTAGAAAGCTGAAAGTTTAACACAAGGTGTCAAATTGATGCCGCTGAAGTTACCGCAAGTTTCGTGTTGATCCGTCAAACGGTTTATAAGATATTGCCGAAAAACGGGAGGGGCTCTGTAGAGCCCCCCCCCCCCAGTCATGCGCGGGTTAAGGCACTGGCATCACTGGCAGTTGCACTTTAAATCCGTGTTTTCTTAGGTTTGTTAGACTATAGTAAACTATAGGCATTAAAATTTCATCTAATACAAAGCTGTTCAACCGGATATGATAGGTGTCCGATGTTCCATCGTAAAACGGGCTAATATGTGACGGGCAGGCGATAACATTTAATTTTCACACTCTCGGTCATGGAAAACGGTGGAGGGGAGCGGACTACATGAAACCCTCCTTTTTGTCGATCGCGTCAAAATAACTGTGACGGCATCTCCTGTATGAAAAGTAGAAACTCCTAAAAATTAAGTGCCCTGATTTTGCTATAGGTACACTCTGACGCATTTTTTGCTGCAGTTTTTTTGAAAAAAAAGAGTTCAGTATAACTCACCTCAGGTCACCAAGTCACCAAAGTTGGTACACCGTCACCAATGAGGGTGAAATTGGAATGGTAGGTATTTTTGCAGCATGCTAAGTATATTTTGATTGCACTCAGTCATATACCATGTGCCTCTGGCACGATCATAACGATATAACGAGTGATTTGAGGTCGAGTCATTGCCTCATTAGGGAAAAATGTCTTGGGACCTGACCCTAAAAAAGCGCCTGTGGGCGCTGTTGCCAGCCTCTGGAGGGTATATTCTTTAGAAACGAATACAAGTCTCAACAAGAATGACCGCGTTAATGTTGCTTTTTCGCGTTTCTTCTGAAGCTTTTCAATCTTTCTTGCAAGTGATTTTTGCCCAGATATCAGTTCAAAGAGAAGACAACCAAGTGACATTTATATGCGTGATTCGATGTTTCAAATAAACACCGCTATCCATTTTCAGAATGAATATTGCGTATAACATGCTTCACTCGATCCTACCAAGAAACTGCGTTTGTAAGCTTCAGTTTGCACTGACTTTGCAATGCATAAATGGCGATATTAAAATCCATGTTTGGGTGAGCACTATTCCCTAATTTGGAATCAAGTGATCGACATGTGGCTGAAAATCTAAGTTGCGGTCGAAAATCACACCAAGATTGCGAACCTGACTTGTGGATCTGATCGTTCCATGGTTAAATTTAACACTTACATTGCCAACATTCTTAAGCATTTGTTTCGTGCCCATCACCAAGAATTCTGTTTTTGCCTCATTTACTCTCATACCATGATCGCAAAACCAATCAAACATGCATTGTAAAGCAGTTCCAATTCGGTTCACAAGCTCCGGTAAATCCTGCTTTGTACCGGTAGTCCAGATTTGGGTGTCATCGGCGAATTGAACCACTTTTACGAACTCTGGCTTTTTTGAGTTTTGCGGACCGCGCCAGGTCACCGCGTCGGCCAGGGGAGAGCCCAGGATCGCTTTGGCTGGACTGAGTGCTGGTGTGACCGCTGGCCGGCCCTCTGCTGGCCGCCCCGAGCCGGCAACCGGTGACAGCCGCCGCACTCGCCGGGGCAGGCGGTCTCGGCGCCGGGGCTGTAGGGGAGGGGTGAAGTGGCGGGCGCCTGGGCACAGCCTGGACGGGAAACTGTATATTGGTCAGCTCAACATACAGAGCTTAAAACCTTAACTGCCAGACTTACGTCAGACCCTGGCCGACACACATCAGTTTGACGTGCTTGCACTGAGCGAGGTCTGGCTGCGTCCATCTGTTCCTGCGCGGTTGTTGAACATTGATGGATACAAACTATACAGACACGACCGACCCGCGAGCAGTCGGTTACCGAAGGGCTATGGAGGCGTTGCTGTCCTGGCTCGGGATACTTTTGATGTTACTGTCTTGAAATCGCCCAACACTGCGATTGGCTCTTCTAATCTCGAGATCATTTGGACCCTGATCCGACCTGACAAAGCCAAACGGATTATTCTCGGTTCGTTATATAGACATCCCACTAATACGGCCAGACAGGTGTCTGATGATCTTGATGATTTGGAAAATCAGTTGCAGTGCATTATGTCAGTGCATGACTGCCCCATTGTAGTAGCTGGTGATTTAAACATAAACATGCTAGGTACGAGTGTCAGCACTGGCTACCAGAAATTGATGCAGTTGTCACAGTCTTACGATCTACATTTTTGCAACCGGACCTATCCCACATACCGACCTGCCGGCTCATTGTTAGATATCATGATCACAAATCAGAGAGACCTTGTCCAGCGTTGCGGTGTCACTGTTTGTCACTTTAGCCCGCACGATTTCACGAGAGCTCTGCTGAGAGTATCGAAAGACAAAAATCAAATCAAAGTAGTGACATCCCGGTGCCTGAATAAACTCGACTTTGGCAGCTTTGTCCACCTGCTAGCCGGTGCTGACTGGTCCACGGTTTATCTAAGTGCAACTTCATCCGACAAGTGGGACTCGTTCTTGAGGATATATACGACCATCTTAAATGTTGTCGCTCCCGTCCGGCGAATCAAAATACGTAATCAATCCGCCCCACCAGTCTCAGCTGACACTCGTTCACTGATGGCACAACGCCGCGCCGCTTTAGCACGTGGCGAGCGTGATGAGTACAAGGCCCTGAACAGACTGACACGGGCGGCCATCAGACGAGACTGTCGCGAGCATATCAGAGGGGAAATTGACAAAGCGGGACATTCGGGCATGTGGCGCTGTGTCAAGTCGATAGTTGGCTGTAAAGCTGCCACGTCGGTCACCCCTAACATTCATCCCGATACGTTAAACAACTACTTTGTGAATGTAGGGCCATTGACTGCAGCCATCGTGCCCAGTCATAGTACCTCTCTTCCAACGAGATTGCCCAGAGTCATGACATGTTCTTTCAAGGTGCATCCTGTGTCGTTGGATGAACTCATGGCAGCCATGGTAGCCATGAATCCGACGACGTCCAGTGGATTAGATGATGTCAGTATTCGGTTATTGCAGAGATCTTTTGGAGGCATTGGCTTCCCATTACTTGACGTCATCAATAGTAGCCTCATGAGTGGGACAGTGCCTAACGCCTGGAAACACGCTCTGGTCACGGCTCTACCAAAGACCGGTGATTTGAACGATCCTTCCAAATTTAGACCCATCTCTGTGGTGCCTGCAATTGCAAAGATAGTTGAAAGAATTGTCCACTCTCAACTTAGTTCATATTTTAGCCAACACGATTTATTCTCACATGCACAGCATGGCTATCGAATGCATTTTTCCACTGAGACCGCGCTCACCGTCATCATAGATAAGATCCTCATGGCCATGGACGCCGGTGATATCGCATTGTTAGTTCTGATCGATTTGTCCAAATGTTTCGATGTTGTTGATCATCAGCTGCTCTTATCCAAACTCAAAATGTATAACGTAGACACCACATGGTTTGAAAGCTATCTTAGTAAACATACACAACAGCTTCAGATTAAGCATCCTTCCGGACACACTGTTCGCTCTCGCAGCCTCCCCAATGAGATGGGCGTTTTCCAGGGCACTGCTCTGGGGCCACTCTTGTTTTCAATTTTTTTCGAACGATCTGGCGTTGTATTCAGGGGACGCTATGGTAGTACAATATGCCGATGACACGCAAATCTTAGTGACCGGAAAGAAAAACAAGCTACAGCAACTTGTGACAACCATGGAGAACACCTTATCGGTCGTGCTTGATTGGTTCACTAGCCACTCCATGAAAGTAAACACAGCTAAAACACAACTGATTGTATTCGGTACGAAGGCTATGCTGCGTCATGTGCCTCCTGTTAGCATTAAGTTCGGCTCAGCTGTCATTACTGAGAGTCCCACAGTAAAGAACCTTGGCGTGGTGATGGATAGACACCTTACCTTCGAACCGCACGTCGATCAGCTTGTAGCGAGGTCAACAGGTATACTGATCGCCCTGTCTCATGCCAAACATGTACTTCCCAAAGAGACGTTGGTTCGTATCGTCAGTGCACTTGTGCTCTCCTCTATCAGATATTGCATCGCACTGTATGGCACTTGCGGTGTAACGCAGCTCCACCGAGTGCAAAAGTTGATCAATTTTTGTGCGCGGATTGTGAGCGGAAGGAGGAAGTACGATCACATATCTGATGTCGTAAAGGACCTTTGTTGGCTTAGGGCTGATCAACTGGTCTGCTATCACACTCTCTGCCTGCTGAAGAGAGTCATGTTCACGGGTCAGCCAGGTGATATAGCCGCGATGCTGACTACTGCTGACCATGGCTATGATACGAGACAATCTCACCAGCTAAGGCGCTCACATGCTGTAAGCACCTCAGGAGTCCGCCGATTTAGTTTTAGAGCAGCTGATTTGTACAACCACCTCCCACCCGATGTACGTAATGCCCAGCATATCTATCAGTTCAAGCGCCGTCTTAAAGATTTTCTTCTAGACGATGATATGATGTGAGGCGATGATACGGATGTGTCTGGTTGGCCGATTGACCTCTGACCCTAGTGGTGGTGATGTTGTGTGTGTGTGTGTGTGTGTGTTTTTTCATGTCATCTTTTATATTATCTCGTTTTATGTCCCACCTTTTTATTCACAAGACGTGTAACTTTTAAACAGCCACTGTAAAGTGGAAAGTTGCTAAATACATGAATTGAATTGAATTGGCACGTGAAGACATAGGTCGTTAGCAAAAATGCACCATAATATACAGCTCACGAATAGAAGGCAAAAATTATATATCATAAATGTATTGAACAAACTGCGTGCAACGCGCAAACATACTCAAAACGGGCAAACACACACATAAAACATTCACTCAGGTTGCATGCTGAGGTTTAGATTGCTGCGCAAGACATCATATTTCACACTGTCTTAGACGCTGTGCCGTACTGAGTCAATAAATAAGAATAAGGAGTAACACAACGACCCTGGAGTGGGCCCGTCTGTCTGAACATTAGTGGCCGTACGCCAGTGTGTTGAGTCCAATGGGACGGCCCACAAGGCCCAGCCCGGTCTTGGCCACGCCGATGGGCCTGCCCACCAGGCCCAGGCCGGCTCCGGCACCAATGGCGCCGATCCTCTTTCCGCCGAGCAGGCCCAGGCCGGCTCCGGTGCTGATGCCGCCTCCCAGCAGGCTCACGCGCTTTGTGGCGATCAGAGGACGCACAGCGGCGACCTTCTTCACGGCGCCCACACCGATGCCTCCAATGCCGTAGCCGCGAGCCACCTGCGGGTGCTGGGCGTAGCCCTCGTAGCTGACCTCGGCGTTGAAGCCGCTGTATCCGTCGGCGACGTACTTGACGATCTGGGTGCGGCCGTCGGGCAGGTTGACGGAGTACGAGCCCTGCACGTTACCGGCACCGTCCGACACCTCCTGTTTGGCGGCCATCGGTCCGTAGTTGGGGTCATCGATGGCGTACTGGTACTGGTACGGCCGCGGCTCGGCGTAGTCGACGGCGACGGCCTTGCCGTAGCCGACGGCCTTGCCGTAGCCAAGGCCACGGCCAGCCAGCGCGGGCACGGCCAGGGCGCCGGTGCCGGACAGGATGGGGCTGATACCGCTGGCGGCGGCGGTGGCCACCAGGGCTGCTACAATGAATGTCTTCATGGCGGAGCTGGTTGTGAGCGACTGGAGCGTCTGGTGGCGATACGAGACGAGCCGGTTATTTTCTTTTGCTATCTGTTATCATTGTATCGTATCTTACAAAGGAGTTGATCGTACTGCTACAAAAAAATTAGCTGGGACAGGGATGCAGGCAATTATAGCCCCTTCTCGTGGCGGAGCTTCGACACCTTTTTGATTTAATTTGAAAACAAAGTGGCAAAGCAATCGAAGATATAACTATTTGAATTCGACAGATTGAATTCAACTAGTTATAGCCTGACAAACCTAAGAAAGAACAGAGTTAAATCTCATGAATCACTTTGCACGTGTTTTGATCACTGAAGCTCGGATAAAATTTTTGTGAGAAGCTTTGAGAAAAATATTAACGGATATTTTTTAGGCAATGTTAACCCGCGCATGACTGGTGTATTTTCCATAACGGAGTGACTGAGGGGGGGGGGGGCTCTCCAGAGCCCCCCTCCTATCTCCAAGACTACTGGACCGATCGATCGTCAAAGTTCAAACGGCATCTGATAGCTCTGGAAAAACTGTCGAGCGAAACCTATTTTCATTGACCTCGAGGTCACCGATGACGTCACAGGTCAGGTCAATGTAAAAATTATCAGCTTTTTTGCTTGTTCACAATTTAGGCTGTGACCGCCGCACGGTCTTGCCGAA